GGGAGAGACAGACAGACAGAGGTTGATTTTCCATCCTGTGGTTCACTCCCCAAATGGCCATGCCGAAGCCAGAGAGAGAGAGGGAGGGAGGGAGGGAGGGAGGGAGAGAGAAGGAGGAAGGGAGGGAGGAAGGGAGAGACAGAGGTTGATTTTCCATTCTGTGGTTCACTCCCCAAATGGCCATGCCGAAGCCAGAATCTAGGAGCTTCATCCGGGTGTCCCACGTGGGTGGCAGGGACTCAGGTACTTGAGCCAATACCTGCTGGGTGCGTTAGCAGGAAGCTGGATCGGAAGAGGAGGAGCTGGGACTTGACTGGGGCTGCAGGGATGTCCCACACGGCAGCTTTGTCCACCTGTTGTGCCGCACTGCCCGCCTCTCTTTCCCATTTGAAAAAAGTCGTCTGGTTCTCTTCTGCAAATGCACCATGCTCGCTCACCTCCCTGGTGCGGTGACGTGGGCATTTTCTGTGACTGCCACACGGGGGCGATGTGTCCCTGGGCGAGCGCTGTGCGCAGGACACTGGACAGTGCAGGGAAGACTCTGGGTGGCCCCAGTTTGCTTCTTAGGTGAGTTATACTCAGTCACACGCTCTTGGGGACCCAGTGACGTGCACCGAGACACCGCGGAGCCGTCACACAGACCGAGGGGCACGCGAGTGCGCGGGACGAGGAAGTCGCCTTGCAGAGTGGCAGGGAGGGTCCGAGCCCACTCAGCTAAAACTGATTGGCTCCGTGCAAATAAATGCACGAAGTGCGTTTGTGTGCGCTGAGTGCAGAGAGGATTCCGGAAGGATTCTGTGCAATGCTGCGCGTGGCGGCTCCCCCAGGGAGTTGGGGCAAGGGGGCTCGTCACCCCGCCTGGTCCCCTCCTGTTCTGCTGGGCTCGTGTAGTGCTTAGGTCGGCCACGGCTACTTCACAGCATTTTACTTTCTGTTTTGTTTCCTCTAAGATTTTTTTTTTTTTGCCATGGACACGTGTTATTTTGGTTTTCCATTTCAGAAATAGATAGATAGATAGATAGATAGAGATAGGTAGATGAATGGATAGATAGATATTCTATCTGCTGGTTCACTCCCCACGTGGGGAACTCAATCCAAGTCTCCCATAGGGTGGCAGGAACCCAGTCACTGGAGTCGTCACAGCTGCCCCCCAGGGTCTGCTTTAGCAGGGAGCTGGAGTCAGAAGCAGGAGTGGGAAACAAACCCAGGCGCTCTGCTCTGTGACATCGTGGCTGCCCAATGCCTGCTGCTTTCCCATGGGGCCAAGAAGTGTACAACATAGCGTGTACCACCACAGCGTGATGTTCAGTGTACACTTCGGGGACATTGGGCACATGCATTTTGCTTATTCATGTATTTATTTGATAGGCAGAGTGATGGAGAGGTAGAGAGAGGTCTTCCACCCCCTGATTCACTCCCCAACAGGCACACAACAGCTGGGGATGGTCCAGACCAAAGCCAGGAGCCAGCAGCTCCATCCGGGTCTCCCACGTGGATGCAGGGGTCCCGGCACTTGGGCAGTCCTCCGCTGCTTTCCCAGGCGCGTTTCCCAGAGCTGGATCAGAGGTGGAACATCCGGGAACCTAACCTGCGCTCCAGTATGGCGGCTTTGCCCGCGGCACCCTGACGCCGGCCCCACGTTCACATTGTTGCGCTCCCGTCAGCGCCGTCCGCCTCCGGAACCTTTTAGTCTTTGCAGGTTACAAGCACAAATCCTTTGTTCTGCTCCCAGCCCCGGTGACCAGCCTGCTCCTCATCGTCCGGTGCAGTTGAGGCCCCGAGGGTCTTGAGTGGTAGAACGGGGGTCTCAGAGGGGGTCTGTGCTGTGACTGAATTCTCCCGCCGCTCCCTATGGTGGCAGGCGGGAGAGTTTTGCGAGGTGGCCCCGAGCCTTGGCTCACGTTTTGTGTCTCCATTCTTCCCTTCATGCCCCCGGGGTTGCTTCTTCCTTCTGTCTCCCGGGAGGAATGCTACTGTGAGTGTGGGTGTGCAGATGGCCCTGTGAGTCCCTGAGTTGAATTCTTTGGGCGTGTCCCAGACGGGTTGCTTTTCAGAAAAGATAAGAAGCCAGGGCCGTTGTAGTGGCGTAGGGAATAAAGCTGTTGCCTGTGGTGTCGGCATCCCATAGGGGCACCAGTTCTAGTCCCGGCTGCTCCACTTCCGATCCAGCTCTCTACTATGTCCTGGGAAAGCAGTGAAGATGGCCCAAGTCCTTGGGCCCCTGCACCTGCATGGGAGACCCAGAAGAAGCTCCTGGCTTTGGATTGGCACAGCTCCAGCTGTTGCAGCCTTTTGGGGAGTGAACTAGCGGATGGAAGAGCCCTCCCCCCCAACTCTGCCTTTCAAAATAAATAAATAGAAAGAAGCGGAAAAGCCACAGAGATACTCTGAGATTCTGACGGAGCACGTGACGTCTGAGCATAGGTCAGGGGAGAGGTGCTGACACCGCGAGGCTCCGAGCCAGGAGCTCTGGGTCAGCACTGTCTCCTGCGTGTCCTGCGGTCTGGGTGGCTGGGGAATGGCTGACTGTCCCCCCAACCCCGTGACCCAGGCCCCGCCCTTGTCCTTGCCCACAGCCCAACACTGAGGGCATCTGGGAGCTGATGACCGGCGGCGTCTTCTACTGCCTGGGCATGGTGTTCTTCAAGAGTGACGGCAGGATCCCCTTCGCCCACGCCATCTGGCACCTCTTTGTGGCGCTCGGCGCCGGCACCCACTACTATGCCATCTGGAGGTACCTCTACCTGCCCAGCTCCCTGCAGACCAAGGTGTCCAAGTGAGGTGGCCCAGACGCCACATGCCCTCGGGCTCCTGGATGCCGCAGGCGTTCCGGAAACCCCAGCTGGAGGAGCTTGGTGCCTCGGCCTGACCGCCCCTCCGGGGGTGCAGGGCAGCGGGGTGGGGAGTGGGGGGTGTCTGGATGGGGCCGCGTTCGCTTCTAGTGGCAGCCGGACTGCCCCTGGGGTCCCCAGGGAGAGGGTGGGCACTTAGTCGTTGCACAGAGGAGAGTAACCCTGTAACGCGTTTGTTTTAGACCAGTGTTTACTAACCACAACCAGCACCCACATACTCAGAGAAGGGGGCAGGACGGGCCAAGATGGGCTGCTCTCAGGGTCCCGGGGACCCTCGGTGGGGGGAGGAGGAGCCTGCTGGAGAATCGTCCTCTGTTCCAGAAAGGTGAATGTCCGCAACCTGGGCAGACATCACCAATCAATCGCAGCCCATGTGAGGCGCCGGGATTCTTTGCAATCCAGTGGTCTAGGCAGCCACTGGCGATGCACTGGGCCCTGGTGATGGACCCTCTGTGCCTCTCCCGGCTGGGGAGCCGTGAACAAGGGCAGGTGCAGCTGCCTTGGGGTTGGTTCTGGCACATCCCAGGCCACAGCAGGGCTCCTCCACCTGCAGTCCCATGCGTCCAAGCCGCCGCTCAGTCGTCGTCCACGCACATCCCCCAAACCAGCGGCCTCTGAGCTGGAGGGGCTTTCGGGCTAGGTTTTGGGTTCCATCCCCTGGGCACGCACGTGTAAGTGTGAGCGCTCACCAAGTGTCTCCCGCCAGCTGGGGTCAGGGTTGGGGGTCAGGGTTGGAGGGCAGTGGGGGAGGGTGGGCTGGAGAGAGGACTTGACCTGGGCGGGAGCTCCGACTCAGGAAACCTCCCGAGGAGTGGCACCATGCTGGGCCGAGATAGGAGTCGCACCATCCCGAAAGACAGACGAACGGACGCTGATGGGGGCTAAGTGGGTGGCTGGGCTGGTGCTCCGTGTCCTGTGCATTTGACCTTGCCTGTCCCCAAGTCAGCCTGTGCCCTGCCCCTCGTCAGGTGTCAGTCCCTTTGCTGGGGACCGGGTTCACCCCTTTACCCACCGAACTCCTGCTCATCCTTCAAAGCCCAGCTCAGATATCCATATCCAGGAACTGCTGGCTCTTCTGTTTCCTGTCACTCCCCATGCTTCCCCACACCGTGGCTCAGAGCCCCGTCCTTTGTCCTCCCTGGAGGGAGGGACTGTGTCTTGTTAGACCGGAGATCAGATCCACAACCCCTGTTGGAGAGAGCTTGGGCCGGTTTCTTAACTTCTCTGGGCCTCAATGCCTTGTGCTCGGAGATGCAGGAGAACAAACAATGATGCCCAGCCTGCACTCGGCAAGCACCCCCTGATAATGATAACACTTTTTCAGAAGTCTCAGTCAAAGGAATGAATCACTAATGGTGGAACTGCCCGCTTTGGACAGGTTGGTGAGGGCAGCGGAAGCCTGCTTGGTCTCCGTGGCACCTGGGGGTCTCCTCCTGGTTAGGACGGCACTGCTGGGGCAGGGTGAGCGGCGGACGGTGGTGAGGGAGGAAAGGGGTTGAAGGTAGGAGGAGGCGGGAGCAAGGGGAAGACGCTCACTGGGGAGACGTCTCTGTGAGGCGCAGGGCAGGGCCTGCCGGGGCCGGGCCAGCACAGGTTCGAATCCACACGGGAGAGCGGGGCCACCTCCCCAGCTGGACAGGAATGTGGGGGCAGGGCGTCGGGGCTGGGCCCGCAGGGGAGGGGCAGGCTGGGAGGTGAGCCTGGTGGGAGTTTCTAAGCCGTCTTGGTGGGCCAGGGCCTGGCGCGCTCACGGCAGTCCTGGGTTTCAGCCTGCAGCCTTTTCTTCCCGCTGTGCCCTGACGTCCCGGGCGGGGCTTGCAGCAACAGGTGCAGGAAGCTGGGGGAGGCGGAGTCCTGGTGCCTGCCTGTCTTGGAGCTGGGTTTTCACAGATGCCTTGTCCCCTGATGGTCACGGCCTCCTGCATGGGGTCGGGGGTCACGCGGAAGTTCCCGTCCAGGGAGACTCGGTGACTTCCTCCAGGGTTCCCAGCTTAGCAGACAGCACTGGCTGATGCCCAGGTGTCTTGCTCTTGGCCAGACCCACTGCTTCCAGGAAAGCCTACGCCCCTGAGGTGGTCCCCCAGAGGGAAAAGCTGAGCTGAAAAATAATTAGTTAATTAAAAAACAAACAAACAAACCGCGAAAGGCCTGGTGTGTAGCATTGCTACGGTCCTGGTTCAGACGCTCCAATTAAGGCTGGGCTCGGGCCTCCTACACGGAGCAGTGCGCACACTCTGCCCCAGCAGCCCCGACTGGCCACGTCCAGCACTGCTGCCCCACCCCCACCCCCGTCCCCAGCTGTCGCTGGGCCTGGAGCCCCATGCAGGCTGGGGGTGTGACTGACTGACAGGCTTGGGAGCTGTGTTTAAAAAAAAAAAGGTCCATTTTCACTGATTGGTAGGCAGAGAGGTTGAGTAACTTGTCCAGGGGCACACAGCCATAAGTGGCCGCCACCCTGCCGTCTGCCAGTTCTGCCGCTGGCAGCTGCACCTCAGGGCCCCGGGACCGTGGGTGCGAGCCGTGGACAAGAGGCTGGGCTCCACGTGGCCGGCACAGCCCTTCCTTGAGGCCACTCGCGAGGCTTCTGGCCTGGGGGCAGGAGACGCCCGCTGAGGACCTCATGACCCACAGGTGGCCGGTGCATGTGGTTCCTTTGTCCCGGGTTCCCGGAGTGCAGTGTGGCTGGCAGAAGGGCAGGGGGCTCTGGGGCGTTTTGGGAAAGGCTGAGATGGGAAGTGGGGGATGCAGGAGCTGCTGACACCTTCTCCTCCCTGGGCTTCCACCTGCCCAGCCGTACAGGGAGTTGAGTTGCCCGTCCACCTGCACGCTGGGCACCCCAGGGGGAGGGCAGAGCCCAGAGCGGAGGCCCCGGGGGAGGGTGGAAGGTGCGGCCCCCCCTCCCGGCTACTCCCAGGAGCAAAGCTGAGCTGGCCCTGCACGCCCCTCCCTCTGATCCGCACCCCGTAACTAAAACTGGGGCGTCCCAACAGGTAGGGCGGTGGCAGCTGTGGTCTGGAGGTGTTCAGTCCACACTGTGGCCGATGGCTGTGGGCGGCTACTTTAGTCCCTTCCTACAGTCCCACCCACACATTTCGCCATGGGGCGGGGAGTGGGGGGTGGCCGCCGGGCTGGCCAGTGCAGGCACAGACTTGGGCCGTTGCGACTGAAGAGTGTGCTGGGCTGTCAGGCCGGGACTCCATGACCCATTGGTCCTGGGGTCCCTTTGTATCCCTACAAGTTACTGAGGGCATCAGTGGGCTGTGGGTGGGCTCCATCTGTAGCCGTCTGTCCTATCAGAAGTGAATGCTAAGAATATGTGGACATCTAGTGCTTTGAGAAAGAGAGCACACCCATTAGAGGCTCATAGAGGGTACCCATCTTTCTATAGAAACCAACGGTTTCTCCAAGCAAGATGAATTCACGTCCAGTGAATTTTGGCCTTGAAGGAGACTGGACGCCCCTCTGCCTTTACTTGGGGCTGCTGTGACTTTGCGTGTCCGGCCGCCTCTGGGGAAAGCCATAGTCCAGGGGCTGAAGGCTGAGAGGGAGAATGACACGTGACCTCACCCTGTTACGATGGAGAGAGTTAGGCCTTGTGAGCCCCCCAGGGAGGGTGCTGGGGCCCCCCCGGACACCCAGCTCAAAGCCTGTGGGGCACCGCTGTCCTAGAAGGGTCTCCCCCTGCAGCTTGGGGCTGGCTGTGCCCCAGCAGCGCTGCTGTCACAGACCGGGACCACGCACAGTAGCCGCATTGGCTCCCGTCAGCCAGACCCAGGCACTTGGGCAGGGTGACAGGCAGGGCGCAGTGGGTCTGAGTGCCACCAGGAGGCATGTCCCCGGTGGGCCTGCAGCACAGGGCCCCGGAGTGACAGGAGGATGAGGCGGGGCCGGGGGCACAGCAGGCCCTACGATGAGACGTTCCCGTGTCGGGGAGGGACCCTGGGGCCCTCCCGCGAGGGCCAGCTTTCTTTAACAGAGAAAGTTTTCCATTCAAGCCATGCATGGCTGCTCATGGCCGTGCTCTGTGGATAGTATTGTACCTCCTGATATAGACACTTTCTCCTACTCTCTTTTAAAAAATGTGTTTTATTTATTTGAAAGAAAGTTACAGAGAGAGGTAGAGCCAGAGAAAGAGAGAGAGGTCTTCCATTCACTGGTTCACTCCCCAAATGACTGCAATGGCCAGAATTGAGCTGATCCAAAGCCAGGAGCCTCCTCCAGGTCTCCCACATGGGTGCAGGGGCCCAAGGACTTGGGCCATCTTCTACTGCTTTCCCAGGCCACAGCAGAGAGCTGGATCAGAAGTGGAGCAGCTGAGACTCAAACCGGCCTCCATGTTTGATGCCGGCACTGCAGGCTGGGGCTTTAACCCGCTGTGCCACAGTGCTGGCCTCTCTCGTACTTTTAAAATAATTTGTATTTCTTTATCTTCACTTTATTTGAAAGGCAGAGAGAGAGAGAGAGAGTCTTTCATCCTTGGGTTCACTCTCCAGATGGCCCCAGCAGGGCAAGCGTGGGCCAGGCAAAAGCTAGGAGCCTGGATCTCCATCCTGGTCTTTCCTGTGGGTGGCAGGGGCCGGAGCACTTGCGCCATCACTGGCAGCATTCCCAGGGGGCTCGTGAACAGGAAGTGGACTCAGAAGCCGAGCAACCAGGTGTTCAAGCAGGCCCTCCGGTCCGGGATGCAGGCATCCCAAGCAGTGTTTTAACCACTGTGCCAAACACCCACCCGGGTCCCACTTAAAACGTCTGGACGTGTGCTCCGCGTGTGTGCCCGCACACAAGCCGTCTGTGGAGTGGCGTTGTTGCCCGTAACTGCAGATCCTCCGTAGGCGCCGTGTGTTACCCACCGCCATGTGGGTGCTGGCTGGGGAATAATGACAAGGATACAGAGCCTGCTTCCGGAGTATCTGTGACCACGGTTGGCTGGGCGCGCAGAAGCGGTGCCCAGGGCTTCCGAGTTCTGCCTGTGTCCGGGGGCTCCCTTGCGTTCAGCGTGTCTTCCGTGGGCCGTGTTAAGGAGGTTAGCTCGGTCGGGCCTCCCTCTGCCTGTGCCCCCAGTCGCGGCCTCTGGACGGACGGTTCCCCACGGCTGTCATCGTCCCCGTCCGTGGGGACAGTCTGCAAGGTATAGGTGTGGAGAGGGCAGGCAGGCCATGCGTGTACCAGGCCTGATCTGCTGGCTGCACAGGGGGCCACATCCCATCCCATGCTGCACTGGGGGAAGGCGGTGGGTGGGGTGTGGTCCCCTGGGGACTGATTCTTAGAATCTCAGGATCCTTGTGCGTGTTGACACCACGGCACTGCCAGGTGCTGCAGACGGGAGCTTCGTAGGTTTGGGGTGCTGGCTCACCCGCGTGCCACTGCCTGTGCCCCAAGCTCCCTAGCCTGCACCCCCTCCCCTGTTTTTATTGGTGTAACAGGAAGTGACCTCACTTCTCCCCTCAAACCTGTCCAGATGAAACTACCGTTTCCGTATTCCAGGGGGAAGCCCAGGCTGCTCTAAGAAATTAAGTGACTTGCCCAAGGTCATCCAAGGTCACGACCCCTGGGTGTCACATCTTCCACTTTCCACACCCCCAGGTGGCTGAGGCCTGGGACCGCACGTAAAGCCCCAGCTCCCCAGGGTCCCCCAGGTGGCCCTGTCTCCCACTGCCACGGCCCTGATTCTGTCATCACTGTCTGAGCTCCCAGGGTCCCCTTGGTGGATGGGGGCACTCTGCC